TAAGTTTCCCTTACACCACTGTGGGGCGCGGGTCATAAGGGCAAGAGAGAGGAGCATCGAGGGGGAACCAGAGGCAGAGAGAGGGAAAGAGGGGCAACGAGAGGGAATATGGCACCAAGAGAGAGCGGGAGAGGGGCAGAGAGAGGGAATTCGGGGCATATATATGGAAAGATGGGCAGCCAGAGGGAAAGATGGGCAGAGGGATGGATGGAGGGGCAGATATAAGTACTTGCGGGGCAAAGAGAAGGCAGGAGGGGCAGAGTGTAGTGACTTCGGGGCAGAGTGAGAGAAGGAAGGGCGTGAAGAGGGAATGAGGGGCAAATAGAGGGGGAGAGTGGGGCAGAGAGAGGGGTAGTGGGGCAGCGAGAGGTATGCTGGGGCAGAGAGAGGGTAGGAGGGGCAGATGGATGGAAGGATGGGCAAATAGAAGTGACTTCGGGGCGGAGTGAGAGAAGGCGGGGCGTGAGAGAAGGCGGGGCGTGAGAGAAGGCGGGGCGTGAGAGAAGGCGGGGCGTGACCGAAGGCGGGGCGTGACCGAAGGCGGGGCGTGAGAGAAGGCGGGGCGTGACAGAAGGCGGGGCGTGAGAGAAGGCGGGGCGTGAGAGAAGGCGGGGCGTGAGAGAAGGCGGGGCGTGAGAGAAGGCGGGGCGTGAGAGAAGGCGGGGCGATGGAGGGGTAGCGTGGTGGAATGCCGGGCGGAGAGCATGCAGGAGGGGCAGAGAGAGAGAGAGAGAGAGAGAGAGAGAGAGAGAGAGATTCGAGGCAGAGAGAGAGGGTGGGGCGTGATGAGGGAATGAGTGTCAGAGGAAGGTGCATGTGGGGCAAAGAGAGGGAAAGTGGGGCAGAGAAAGGGACAGTGGGGAAGAGAGAAGGAATTTGGGGCTGAGAGACCGAAGGAGGGGCGGAGAGAGGGAAGGAGGGGCGGAGAGAGGTGAGAGCGGGGCATAGGGAAGTGGGCATAGAGAGGGAAACAGACTCCGCGAAGGAGGAATGCAGGGTAGAGGGAGGGTAAGAGACGAAGCCAAGAAGGAATGCGCGGTAGAGAGAGGGATAGCGACGGAGTGAAGGAGGGTCATAACGAGGGAAGGAGGGTCAGAGAGAGGTGAATGCGGGGCATAGAGAAGTGAACTCGGGGCATAGGGAGGGCAGGAGAGGAATGAAGGGGGAAATTTGGGAATAGAGAAAGGGAGATTGGGGCAGAGAGAGGGCAAGTGGGTAAGAGTGAGGCAAATTGGGGCAGAGAAAGGGAACGAGGGGCGGAGCGAGGTGATCATGTGGCAGAGAGTGGGAACGAGGGTCAGAGAGAGGAAGGGTGGGGCATAGAGTATGGGAGAGAGGGGCAGAGGGGGGGAAAGTGAGGCAGTGAGAGAGAAAGTGGGGAGATGAGGGTGCGATTGGATGCACCTAACTACTCCCCCCCCCCCTTCACCCGTCCCTTGCTCGCCCGCCTGCCCCCCTCCCTCCCCCTTCCCCCCCTGCCCCACACCCCCATAACCGATACCCTGATTGCATCCCGTACGTGCAGACGCTACAAGATCATCAAGGCAGTGACCCCTGCATCTTTGCTGAGGCTCCCATCCGCGTGGGCGTACTTCACCACGACGGCCTGCTTCTCGGCGTCGGAGCACCGTGCCATGATGCAAGTGCTGCCCCTCATTATTGACCTCCCCAAGCGCGCCGATATTCGACATGCCATCACGCTCATGTCGGACTGGTACAAGGAGTTCATCCGGGCTGAGTATCACACTGATGAATCTCTCGAGCGCATGGAGGAGGTCTCCTGCGAGTAAGTCTAGTGTGAATGGATGTGCGTTCCTTGCGCAGAGGGAAAGAGGGACAGAGCGAGGATCGAGGGGCCGAAAGAGGGACTAAGGGGCCGTGTGTGGGAAATGGGGGCTGAGAAACGGGGACAGCGGGCAAAGTTTGTGAAAGAAGGGCAAAGAGAGAGAAAGAATGGAAAAGAGAGGGAAAGAGGGGCAGAGTGAGGGAACGAGGGGCCGAAAGAGGGGAAAGGGGGGGCAGAGATAGGGAAGGATGGATGAGAGAGGGATAGAGGGGCTGAGAGAGGGAACGAGGGGCTGAGAGAGGGAACAAGGGGCTGAGAGAGGGAACGAGGGGCTGAGAGAGGGAACGAGGGGCTGAGAGAGGGAACGAGGGGCTGAGATAGGGAACGAGGGGCTGAGAGAGGGTACGAGGGGCTGAGAGAGGGAACGAGGGGCTGAGAGAGGGAACGAGGGGCTGAGAGAGGGAACGAGGGGCTGAGATAGGGAACGAGGGGCTGAGAGAGGGAACGAGGGGCTGAGATAGGGAACGAGGGGCTGAGATAGGGAACGAGGGGCTGAGAGAGGGAACGAGGGGCTGAGAGAGGGAACGAGGGGCTGAGAGAGGGAACGAGGGGCTGAGAGAGGGAACGAGGGGCTGAGAGAGGGAACGAGGGGCTGAGAGAGGGAATGAGGGGCTGAGAGAGGGAACGAGGGGCTGAGAGAGGCATCGAGGGGCTGAGAGAGGCAACGAGGGGCTGAGAGAGGCAACGAGGGGCATAGAGAGAAGAGGAGGGGCACAGAGTGAGGGAATGGAGGGGCAATTAGAAGGAAGGAGGGGATGAGAGAGGGGGGGGGGAGGATATGAGAGGAGGGGGGAGGGGATGAAAAAAGGCGGAAAGGCATGAGAGAGGGGAGGAGGGGATGTGAGAGGGTATGGGGCACAGTAAACCCCTCCATACCACCCCACTGCGCCAACCCCGTATCTTCCAATCCTCCATAACACATTCCATACAGGATGGTCGATGCGCTTGTTCTAGCGTTCGACAACCAGAAGTCGAAGTGGTTTATTGTGAAGGTACATCTTGTATCGCACCTGCCACCGACGATCCGCGCACGCGGATTGCCACAGGAGTACTCGTCGAACCGGTACGAGCAATCCCACAAGACAACAGTAAAGCGCCCATCTCGGGGCACCAACTGGAAGGGTGTGGAAGATAGGATTGTGAAGAAGCATGTCGAGCAAGCTGTTGTTCGACAGCTGTCTCGGGCTGCCGGCGGGGACAAAACCTACGAGACAGCCATGAAGGAGGTGAGACTGAATACAACCCAAAGCCGTTTCAATCCACCACTTGTCCCCCCTTGCTCCAACCGCCGACTACCCTCCATGACCTCCTGTTTTAAAGCTAAACCTTGCCTATCCTCTTGAGCCCCGCTGGCCCTTACCCGACTACCATAAACTTATGACATCCCGTTCTGCACTCCCATGCTCCCCCACGGGGCCTCACATGGATGTTTAACCCGTTGCCCCCTCTTCTCATCTCTTAAATGCCCCCAGATGCTTCCCCATTAGTCCACCCACCAACCTTCGTCTTGCTGCCCCTCTTGACATCCCGTTCTGCCCCCACATGCTTCCCCACTTGTCCACCCACCGACCTTCCTCCTGCTGCCCCTCTTTGCTTCCCGTTCTGTCGCCTACATGCTTCCCCACTTGTCCACCGACCAACCATCTTCTTGCTGCCCCTCTTGACATCCCATTCTGCCCCCACATGCTCCCCCACTTGTCCACCCACCAAGTGTCCTCGTGCTGCCCCCCTTGACATCCCGTTCTGCTCTCAAAAGATCCCCCGCTTGTCCACCCATGAACCTAAACCCTCCTGCTATACCCCTCGCCCACTCGAACTTCCCACCCTTGCTCCACCACTGGCTAAACCATCCAGCCCATCTTTGTAATTCGTTGAGCCCCCCCCCCCGCTTGGCACTTGTCCCCCTATTCACATGCCTACTGTTGCTGCCCCCTCTGACCTCTCGTACTGCCCCCTATTCCCACCCACTCGTCCCTAATCACTGCTCCCTCCTCCTGTTGTCCCCATTGCACTTCAATTGCTGCCTTGTTATGCCGCCATGTAAACCATGCATCCATCACCTTCCTACCCAGGCTTGCACGCTTGGGCGCCGGGTGATGACAAAGACACACAAGAAGATGACCGTGGGGAACATCCTCGATGATGTATTCAGGAGCTACGTCCTCCTTCACGGAGATGAAGCGATGGGCGCCCTGAAGAAGCGGCTGACCATGGAGGGAATCCGCGAACAAGTGCTCAGTGTGAGAATCATAAGATTGCCCCCTGCAATGCAGACCTGCCACTACCATCCTGTTAAACGCAAGCAGTCTTAGACCAGTTGTAATGGGAAAACCCAGCCATGGAAACCCGTTGTATCAACGCACCACTTAGCAACTCATCCTTGAGAAATCTAACACGACCCTTCCATTGTTTTGTTGCGTTCCATGTTTGTTTACTCGCAGGTGCACACAGCCATGGCAATCCCACCGCACGACAGAATGGAGTGGACCGAGAAGGGGCAGTTTGTCAAAGCAAGCCCTGCTGAGAGGCACTTTTCAGATGTGGCCATAAACCCATCTGGCAAAGGGGCCAACTGGTACGGCCGTTGCTTGATGCTGTTCCATTACGTGAAAGATGGCGTGGCAAAAAAGGCCGCCTACATAGAGTACTACACGGAGGATCGGCGCGTCTGCCGCTACACAGGCTGCAAGCGACTGCTGCCCACGAAGGGCACTTACAACTATGCAGTTGTAGATGCAGATTGCATTCTTAGCATCGTGCATGTCGTCCCATGCTGCAAAGACCCTGATGTGAAGCTCCTCAATAGGTTCATCTGGTAATGCCTTCAAAATTGCGACTGTTTTTCTAGACTATAACATCGTATAATTGTGATACTCCTATTCATGAAGCCTTATGTATTGTCTCAACAAACAACATTTGACACATCAACCATCAAAACATTGGTAATCCATTACTAAAACATCAACAAAACATTTGGGTAGTACAAAATGATATCCGAATGATATGTAGATGATTTCTGAAAGATTGTCAAACGTTTTTTAAACCCTTGGTAACAAACCAAACGGTCGAATGTTTTCTAAACACACACATTTTTGTGATGGGGGAGTGCTGCTGGGGCGGGCGGAGGCCATAGGGGATGCCTGGAGTGTTAACGATGGGTGGACGGGGCCCGGGGGCGGTTGACAAGCTGGATCTCGCCAAGGCGAGAGTCGGTTCGGGACGAGGAGTCGCGTGTAGGAATCTCTTGAGTCATGCGCAGGCGATAAGTGAAGTGAATGGTGGCATTGAGCAGCTGGGCGCCACCAAGGTGGGAGTTGCTGAGATTCGGTGAGGAGTGGGTGAAAGTGGCTGGGCTGGGGGATGAGATGGCTGGAGGGAGGTCACAGCAGGACAGGTGAGTTAAGAAGCTGGTTGCAGCCAAGGTGGGACCCGTTCCGCCATCTTCCCTCAACTACCTTCCCCTCCCTCCCAGACTCTGATTTCCTCTTTCCATCCAACTCCCATTCGCAACCCCCCTTTCCCCATCCATCCAGAATCGCATGTGTGATTCCTGTCCTACACCAACGCCTTGTGACTCCTTCATATCTGCCTCTACCCGCTCCTCCGCTTTCCCCGCTTTTCCACCCTTCTTTCCCGCTCTCCCCTCCCCCAACCTCCCCCCCCCCCTCCCTCCCCCCTCTCCCCCCTCCCCGACCAGTTCCAGTTCTACACCTGCGTCCCATACACCGAGAAAAAAAGCCCCTACAGCACTTTCTCCCACATCTCCACCCTAGCTCTGCATCGGCTTCCTTTATACGGACTCCTGGACCACACGTTCGCACCCTTATGGCACTGTCTCCCACATCATTCTCACAAGCCACTGCCATTTTTCCTCCTTTCCCTCCGCCTCATTCCCTCCCAGATCTGCACCGCACCTGCTTCTCCTAGACCCACGTCTGCCCCACTGCATGGAGTTGGGACCCCACAACGCGGGCACACTGTTCATCCAGGCCCAAGGTACTATCCCCTCCCCTCTCCACTCCATACCCCCTCCCACCCAACCCTCCTTCCCCACCCCTCCCAGCTCCGCACCTTCCTCTCCCACATCAATGTCTGCTACTACTAGTAGTGGGCCTATGTTCTTCTCCATCACTACTAGTGAGCCTGTTGCATGCCGTCGGTTTTCGTCTTGATGGACGAGAAGATGAGGTGAGGTTAGGCAGGGCTACTGGGTTCCCAGGGTAGAGCAAAAGGAGAAGCAGATGTGCTGGTAAGAGTAGTAATGTGGCTACTGCTCTCATAGACATATGTGCTCATGCCGGAGTGGTTATCGGGACAGACTAGAAACCTGTTGGGCTCTGCCCGCGCAGGTTCGAATTTTGCTGAGCACGAGTCAGTTTGTGGTCGGTTCGCTATGATTTTTGTATCAATATTGTTTTGCACTTCACAGTGCGACATCACATTGAAGTGCAGTGATTATTCAGATAACATATCAATTGCCTAGTGGTCACCCTATTGGAAGAATTTCGGCATGGCGATGCGACTATCGCTCCACACAAGGCAGCGCGCTGGATCTGTGACATTTGTCGCACTAAAGTATGTCGCACTGAGGTCTGACTCACTGGGGTCTGTCGCACTGAGTTCACTCACCCCAGTGTGCACGTAGGCTGATCCGACAAGATTCCTGCCCACACCACTCACTCCGTTCCCCATCCCGCTCTCTTCGCGCTTCTTTTGGCGCCTCGAAAGCCCTTTGCCTCCCCGCGTCCCGCATTCTGCTCCCCATTCCAATCGCTGTGCATAGAGACGTTACCCTAGATCCGTGCTCTCCGTTGCTCTTAAACCATTCCGTCTCACCAACCGCGTTACTCCCTTTCCTTCTTGTTTCCCCGTGTCCCTCCTCCTACCCCTTGCTCTCCCTGTTGCGCCACTCTGTGCCGTGCGGCGGTCCGCCCAAGTGAGCCCCGCAGCACTCGTGCCCGCATTCTGCTCCTCCTCGGGGCCGCTTCGCCTGGACGCCGCAAGCACCACGGGCAGCGCAGGTAGACCGGTGGCGGGTCCAGTGGAGCTGCAGGGTGAAGTGGGGGCAGGCAGATAGAGGAGTGGGGGGCAGCGAGCTTGAGAGTTGGCTGCAGGGGGGCGGGTGAGGAAGTGGGGAAGGAAAGGAGGATCAAGAGCAGCAGGGTCGGACGCGCATATTGGCGGCCTTGGTGGCGCGGATGGTGGCGGCTGTCCTCCCCCACGCCTTGAGTATGTTTCGCGCATGCGCGACCCCTGTTTGTGTCCCCCACGCCACGTCCGCACCACGTGTCTGCAGTCTTCTCCCACCACACGGGAGCACGGGGGAAGGGGGGGGTGCTTGGGTCAAAAAATGGGGGGGAGCATGCATAAGTGGCAGTTTGATCCATGCACAGAGGCACAGGGGCGGCAGGTGGGAGGGGGGTAACAGGGGCAAGGAGGGAGTATGGCGGCCAGCAACAGGAACAGGCAGCATAGGCAGCACGGGCAGCATAGGCGGGAGAAACATGGGCACGGCTGCTCACACCTGTGATGCGGTACTCACGGACGCCGCCATCCTCCTCCTTTCTGTGATTATGCCCGCACCCGCCTCCTCCTCCCTGCGCTTCCCCCAAGTGCCCAGCGCAGATTCAACAGTAGCGGCAGCGGTGTGGTGCTGCACTGGGCAGCTTGTGTGACATTCATCCTTGTTGACCTTGATGACCCCATTCATCCTCTGCATAAACCAGCTGTCCCCATCTCAGGTGCTCCTCCTCTGCCCTCCATCACCCTCCCATCTGCTCCCACCATTCCAGCCACGCAGCATCACCATAGCCATTGCACCCTCAGACACCACCCCTCCCTCTCGCCCACCATCACCTACGTTATGACCATCTGCTGTCACTCGATTCTCCCCTCCATGCCCTTCTAACCCTCCTGTGCTTCTCTTTAATTTTTTTCACCGATTTCTCTCACTCTACCCCCGCTACGCACCTCCCCTCTCCCCCCTCCCCCCCAAACACGACTCCCCCACTTTCTTGGTGGTTGAATGATGGTGGCAGCAGAGAGGACTTGCATGCACTCCATTTGCTGATCAAGAATCTTCATCTGACCACACCTTCTCTTCCCCTACTCCCTTGATCTCCCCTCAGCTGTTTCTAGCAGTCACCTTGTCATGATGGCATGGCGTGAAGGGAGGTAAGGCTGGCGGATTTGACAGAAGAAACTTGGAGAAGGTGAGGATGTTTAACATCCCAAATAGAAATCTCTTCGGCTTATGGTTGATGTAGTCTATATGTGGGCAACATTAGATGGCATGTCTTTGAATTTTAGTGGAGAACAGTCGTGTCGAGGCAGCTATGCATGTGCACACCTCATCCACACGTCATTCTATGCCACATCCCACACCTCATCCCACACCTCATCCAGACCTCATCCCATACCGTACATCATCCATACATCACCCTATACCCCCTCCCATACCCCGTCCCATACCCCGCTCCATACCCCATCCCATACCCCGTCCCATACCCCGTCCCATACCCCGCTCCATACCCCGTATCATACCCCGTTCCATACCCCGTTCCATACCTCGTCCTACACATCCCACACATACATAATTCCTCGAACACATTGTTTATTTTCGTGCCCACCTTTCACTCGTGGTGCAAATATTGCATTCTAGTAATATTACAGGTAGTCTTTCTGGAAATCCAGCTCCTCTCGTTGTGTTTGCAGCCTGTTGCCATTCACAGAAGGTGCTGCTAGGGGAGATGGGGAATGAATGAAGGGAAAGGTGTGAGCAGGAGTTATGGCAATCTTGTTAGCAATGCCCTGACTGTGTCTCATACATCTTTTGTTTGTCATTTCCATCCGTTGCAGTGACATCAGCCAGAACAACCTCACTGGCCAACTCCCACCAGCAATAGGAAGTCTCACTAATCTTACATACCTGTAAGGCATTCTAGCATGCTCAAGTGTTGCAATGTCCATCATAGCAGCCTTGGAGCATTTCATGAAGAGGAGGTATACAAGGTTTTCCAGTGGTGTACCATAGCCAAAGAGTGTTTAAGGCCACAGGCAGGAGGTACACAAGGACCTAACTTGGACTGGCCCAACCCAAACCTCCACGTCAAGCCGTCTTCAAAAGGCGGTTATATACAAATGTATGGTTCGTCATTGTTTTCAGCCTGTATAACACCTTGGCATAGTAGAGTATTGCAATGTGTTCCATACAACTCCAATAGCAACCTCAGAGCGTTTCACTTCGAGCTGAAACCCTTTTCCGATTCTCTGTTTTATAAATGCTCCATGTGCACATGCAGGAACATGTTTTCGACTGCAATCACATGCCCTCCTGACTACAGAAGCTGTGTGGTCCCACAGACCACTTCAAGTGCTTTCTGCAGCCAGTGCGGCTCCTTCTGCACCACATGTGACAAGCCACCACCAGGTGAGACGCTTCTTACGCAGGTAGCTGCAATTTGTATTGCCTATTCTTACATTGCTCTCATGCCAAGTGCATGAACACCACATTGCCACCCATTCAACAAGCTTTTTCAGTGTCAGATTTTTTTTTTCCAGGTATCAGGAACCCATAGAACAATATTTCCTAGTGTCACGCATCCGCATCCTCACGCATCCGCATCCTGTTGCATGCCTTCGCTTGGCTTTTAATGAAGAGTACCCGTTTAAATCCGTCAATGCCTCTCTTTGCTACTGCTCACTGTGCAAAATGTGCCTGATGCCACATCCACTTTCACCAAGCCCACCGCCATCCCCATGTCTGATTTCCCTTTCCCTTCCCTTTCTTCATCTTCCGATCCCATTATTGTACTGTCCCCATCGACAGTGCCAAAACCTTCTCCATCACCAGCGCCAGCACCCTCACCATCCCCAGTGACAGCACCCTCATCGCCAGCGCCAGCACCTTCTCCACCTCCCACTTCAGCTCCTAATGCACCCTCCGCCTCTCCCTCCAAAGGAGGGGCGGTTTATTCAGCGAAGCCATGGCTGGCATTGCTGCTGCTGGCACTGTGGCTGTCCTTGTGTTGCTGCTGCTGCTGAGCTGGCTGCTGTGCCAGCAATGCTGCACCAACGAGGTAGCAGGAGGAGGGGATGGTGACGGCAATATTGGAATAGGCTAGAGTTCACTCTCATAATTATCATTGTGTTATCTTATTAGAGCAAGTTACACTTCAGGTTTCAGTTTAGTTTAGGTTCAACTCATAGGTTTCACCTTTGATAACACATCATAACTGTAAGACAAACTTGGGTTAGCATTGACACTTGCCACAGGCAGGCTGGCCTGGTTCAGAAGAGGCCTGGCACAAACAACAATAGATAATTCACCACATAAATACAAAGTCCTACAACACACCAACACGCAGAGACAAATTAAGCAAAAGCAAGGCAAACAGAAGAATTACTAAAGAGCATGGGGCGACCTGGGACGTGTTGATATGGAATTTGAGTACCCTCCCATGATCGTGGTGCCAGGGTACCAGGAAGGGGAGGCATAGGAAGAAGGACACAGCAGAGGAGGAGCGGGTGAAAGGACACAGCGTAGGAAAGGCTCGTGAAAAGCAGACCAGGAGGGGGCCGGGGGGCGGAGGTCTTGGGGACTGTGACAAGCTAGTCGGCCAACACTAAAGGGCAGTTCTCACCACCAGGGCCAAGGAGGGAGAAGGGGCAGTGGCGAAGATTCACAGAAGGGCGGAGAGAGGAGTCGGGGCGACGGGGTCATGGCTCTGTTGCTCCGGGCCACCTGCTCCACCAATCTGGCTCAGCCTCCGCCAGCGCTCGGTGCAGCTTCGGTTTGTCAAGGTTGTGTCTGTCCTTTAGAAGAACAGGTTGCGTGCCTGGCAGCAGAGAGGAAGGGTCGCTTCTGCTGCTGCAGGACCACGGGGAGCACCACAGGTGCCAATGAAGCAGCAGGAGGGCCGATGGTGAGGAGGTGTGAACGTGAACCAGGCTCAGTTATTACTTCAAAGGGTACACAGGAGCAATTTTGCTAAGTGACGGTCCGTTGTGTTAATGAGAAGTAGTTTACCGACAGGCAGATGAGCACTTCGGAAACAGGCATTTCCACTACTTAAAAGGCCTGTCACCACTGCTGCCTACTCCCCCACCACGGCTCTCCCTCTACCCCCCCCGCTCCTACCCCCTTCTCCCACCCCCTCCTTCATCTTTCCCACCCATTCCTCCCTCCTGCTCCTCCCCTCTCCTCTCGCTCTACCCTCTCTTCTCCCTCCCTCTTCACCGTCTCTCCCCCTTCTCATTCCATCCCCTTCCTCCTTCCCGTTTCTCAGCGCCTACTTTTCACCCCATCCCCTCCACGCCCCTTACCTCTGAATCCCACCCCTCCCCCATTCCCACCCCTCCGTGCTCCCTCACCTGCACACAGTATCCGATCCATCCTCCTACATGTTTCTTTTCCTGTGCTTCGTTCACAGCTCCACCGTGCTCTATCTCAATATCCTTTGGATTTCTGCCGCTGTGGTTTCATCTCCCAAGCCTCGCATCTCAATTTAGCCTTGTAGCCCAACTATCATCTCGTTACGCTACATGTTAGTCTCATCTCTATACGTTAGCCAGTCATGCCAATGTGCTCCGTCCTACATCCCTGGCCCTTGTCGCCTCCTGTGATAGATTCTGTCTTGTTTTTTTTGCCGCTGCCCCCTCCCTCCCATGCTTAAATCCTTATATGCGACTACTACAGTTGGGTACATGCAGGGGCATACATGTAACGCCTGTGGGCTAAGTGTTAATGGGCATTCCGCTGCGCCAAATAACACTCTCGTTTTGACCCAGTGGGTAGCGATGTGTTATAGATGAGACAGTGACTTCAGGGCTGTTTGACACAAACAATCGCATTGAGGGCCAACGGCAAAGCAAGCGCATGGTGCAGGGATTACGAGACGATGGCCGAAGGGGTAATGGTATGATGTGGTGATGGGAATATGGGAATATGGGTAATGGGTTAATGGGGTGACTGGAAGATCGTGTGACGATGTGATGGGATGCTTGTGTGATGGTGTGATGTGATGATAAGATCAAGGGACTTGAGTCGTCCATATGGAAAGGGTCGATCCAAGAAAGGATGGGGTGTCAATGGCAGTGGTGGCTAGCCAGGTGACGATGCGAGCAGACACCTATAGGGTAGGTTCGAATCTGACCTCATTGCAGAGATGAGAGATCATTCATCTCATGTGGGCATATGGACAGCAGAAGAAGGATGCTACTGGCTGGTCTATGCGGGAAGGGTGGTCAGGGAAAGAGGGCGGGAGAGAACAGGGAGGTGGAAGAAAGGAAAGGCATGGCAGGCAGGTAGGATGAAGGCCAAGAACTTGAAGAGGGTGGTGGGATGTTGACCTATTCAAGCGAGCCACTCCACTGACGGAAGTCCACAGCTGACTATTCCAACAATTGACATTTGACCTTGCGCCTGCCAAATGAAGAGGGATGGGGTTGTGGGAAAATGGTACGGTAGGTGGGTGACAACAGTGAGGGTAGGGAAGATCGAGGGCACCAGCCCCTCACTTTTGTGGATGGCACATCCCACCTCCACCATGTGCCCAACCCACGTCCACCATGTGCATATCACCTTCTTTCTAGAATTCTTAGCTGTCGAATGCATGGTTGTTTCTAAAGTACGGAACAGGTTCACTTGTAGAGTGAGTGTGGGATTTTAAGAGAGAAAGAGTGTCGGTTTCAAAACATCATGCATGTAAATCACTACACTCTTAACCTAACAATCTGCACTGTGTGACATATCATCTGTTTTTCCACCCCACATATCTAACCTGCAACGCGGTATTACTTTGCACCTTGAGAATTACATCTCATACCCTCCACTCCTCTCATAGTCCCGCTCTCTTACTCCTCACGCCTCTGATACCCCCCACTTCCTCCTTGTATTGTTTCTTGGTT